TAGGTGCAAATGTTGCGCTCTCGTTGAAACATTTTCTACTTGCACGATGTGTCTATGCTTCAGTTCCCGCCTCCCTGGGCAAATCTGTGTCTAATCACACACGCTTGCAAGTGTCCCAATACACCAGCCCAGGATCTCTAAGAATTAGGTCTATGTTGGACGATTGCTGATGCAGGACTGGAGTTCATATCTGCGATTAACCTTCATATTTTGGTTACACATGACCACGATCTATGGTTAGATTTAGTTTAATTCAAAGTCTTTTCTAAAGGCCATGGCACACCAAACATTCTCCAACAAACACAGACGTTTGTTTGGTGTGCCATGACTGTCTGTCCTTGTTTGGTCAGATTTTACATGTTCAATCTGTGTTTGTGTCTGTTTTAAGGAGGTCTGGTCAGTAAGCCTATAGTACTCGTATCCATAGAAACGCAGCTCGCGCATGCCCAGTATTAGCAGTAAACGAGAGACATTATAGTCCCTATAATTAGTATTTTGACGTCTTATAAGTGATCTAACCTTTTCCAACAGCCTGTAGTGCTGCTCTGGTGCGACTCGAAGTTGAATGACAAAATCAGATCGGTCCTCATTTTCCAGCTCACAACAAAGACGAAGAGCTCCCGTGTTGCCTTCTTAATAAAGACTGCTTACTCCCATGAATGTAAATAATACATCCATGCTTGCTTCAGATTTTCTTCCAATATATCTTCTGTGTTTGAGGAACACAGTCCAAGAAGTGTCTCTAAATCACAGCAGATCCCCTATTCATTCTCAATTTTGAGGTCATTTTTGAAAAACAAAGTTTGATCTGTTAAGTTTACGATTTAGTTTGGATTTGTTTGTTTGACCAATCAAAACCTTAATCATACCACAGTCAGATACTGAAGAAAGCAACATTTTTAAAATCGTTGGCCATTGATCATGGATAAAAACAGATGTTTTAGAGTTTTACAGAATTATCCAATACTGATGTGGTAGTCTGGTGATAAAGTTGGATACAAATATATTAGATCTTTTTCAGCTATGCTGATACTGACTACTGAAAACAACATAGTACTACACTTGAGATTTTTAAACAATTGATTTTTGTTTTCAAGCTAAAATGCCAAACATTACATCAGTTCCAACTTCTGCTTATTGTTAATTGAATATCTTTGAGTTTTGGACTGTGCGTTATGGACTGAGCAATTGCTGAAAAACGAATTAATTGATGATAAGGCAGAGTCAAAACTCACTACAAACCAAAATAAGCATTTAAGGTCAGGAAATGTGGCAACCTGGCTAAGCCTGCTGCCATTATGACCTGCACCCAAATACGCAACTGAAAACAGATAGATGGAGGGTCTGGAAAGTGTTTGCATGTCAAGTACCTTTGATTTAACACCGTGACTGCTGAGACGTAAAGAAACATTAAGAACTTTATGACGCCACTCTGCCGCCCTCTCTCTCCACACGTGAGCCAATGTCACCTCTCTTCCTTCCAGAGCAGGCCTTCCTAACTGATGCTGTAATGAGCTGCTGTTTGCGTGGCTACATGCTGTCTCAGATGAGACACGATGCTGTCACTCAGATTTCATGGCAGCAGCCCCTTTGGCACTGAATCACTATCCGAGTCCCTCACAGCCCCACATTGGATCAAAGGCGAGTTCTCAAACAATTTCTGTGTTATCTCTGGTGTAAAATGTCCTAATCCTGGGTTTATTTCTTCTTTTATATTACCGTTGTTAAATGTTTACTTAGCCAGAACATACTCTTCTTTACACCAATGACTAGGGCAGTTAACTTTGAGGGAGGATACGTTACACATGAATCTTTTGCCAAACCCCACATCTACAATCATTATGTGCTTTTGGCCGCTTTGCTGGAGCAGTTGGGGGCTAAGTGCCATGCTCAAGGGCACATAAATCATAGGTTTTCTCAACAAGACTGACTGGAGCTGTACAGTGGCCTGAGTGTTTAATGTGTTCAATTAAAAGTTGAAAATACCACATTCAGGCTTTTTTTTTTTTAAGGTGTAAACAAGTTTTATGGCTTGTGTATAATTAAACACTTTACTAATCAGTCATTATTTCAACATTTCTACACAGATATTCTGGCAAAGACTTTTGTGACATGATATAATGTTTTGGATTTACACTCTGCTGCCTACACAGCCTTGCACCTAATTCAATGATTGTCAAATTTAATCTGTGTGAGCTTTTAACTGTACCCGTTTATTACATAAACACCTGTGAGGTAAACAGCTAAACATGTCAATCTAAAGAGACAAGTTTACACCCAGTTGTTAGAATGTTTACTGCTGCTCGAGAGTGCAGAAAACCAGTGTTGTAAAGACCAAACCACGAAAACTGAATAATAAGGGACATTTCAATCCCCTAACAGCCAAGGTGTTGAAGTGTCCTCAAGCCAGAGCTGAACTGATTCCAACAGCAGCGTGGCAACAGCTGGTTCCAATTAAATGTTCCTCATTGCACTGTAAACAGGTGAAGTAGAGACCAAACAGCATCGGATTGAATTTGTTCATTCCGTATGTACTTACGGGTAAGCAGTAAATATACTAATGCCCTCCTAAACACTACTAATGTCATGGTATTTCAGCGGGAGGACACTCCTGGTCTGCTGGTGTCCTTGAGAGCATGACGGTGCAACGAAGCAACAAAGTGCTTTATTAGATGTCCCCTGATAGATCTGGTCTGAGGTAGAATCCATGTCTCCAGTAAGAGGGATAATGTTTGGCTGCCACTCAACAGGGAGGGTCCTCCGGGTATCTATCACTGGAGGTGACTGAGTGTCAAATAAAAAAGCAGTGCTGGGTAATTTTACAGGATGAAAGTCAATACAGTCAATACAGGCAATCATCTTAGGGACGCCTCTCGCCTTTCCTAAAGCTACTGACTGGTACAGTGAGTGCACAACGGTCCTGGCCAAATGATTTTCAGCCTGCTCAGAAGAGACACTGGGGCTGAATTTGGCACATGTACAGCCAGAACGTAGTGAGGTTTTTATTTTAATCAGTCATTCAAAGGAAGAGTTTGACATTTGAGTTTATAAATCTACTGTTGCAAAGACGTTTACTTAAAAAATGATGTTAAGAAAAATCACTGTAAATTGTAACAGTCTATTTTATTATCATCTATTATCATTTATAATGATTTTCATCATTGTTGAATATGAAGATGAATCATTTGGTCTGTAAATGTGTGAAAAAAGGCTGCAAATCCTCGCTTTAGACAAGCTGGAATCAGTCATTGTTTTCCAATCAATTGATTAATTATTTCAGTTTTAAATGACATAATAACTAAAAACTTAACAAATGAGAAGCTGGAACTAGGGAATGATGAATAAATGTATTCACTACAGATCCAAGCAACTTAAAATTCACACTATGAATGACATTTTCTGATATGACCTCAGACCACTGACAGAGTGGAATATTTGACTGAAATAATTTACATAGAAGGTTTTTCCCAGTTTCAGTCATATGTTGTCTGAAAACTCAAAATTCTACCCTTATTGTGGCACAATAGCCACTGTTGGTTTGAGTTTCACCCTAAAAGATGACAGGGATAAGAAGCCCAGACTTACTTTCATGTTCCCAATTTTGAGTGGGCAAAACAGGAAGGAAAAAGGGAGCAAACCAGCCTTTGATTTATATTCAAATGAGAAGTATACAGGGGAAATTGGATTTCTCTTTCATTTCAGAGAATGAATTTCCTGGTGGCAGATTGTATTGTATCATCTCGTGGCGTTAATATCCAGCTCTGAGCATCAGAAACTATTCTTCATTACAAAGACTCGGAGGAACTTTTGACAATTTCCATTTCTGTTCCAATGTTCAAACAATACACCCAAGGCCATTTAAGACATTTCTCACCCGTTTTAATTTACACATGAAAGGCAATAACATATCAAAGGAATTCTGCTTTAAATTCTAAAGAAAACTAGTGTCTGCCTTGTGTCCCTTATGTCAACGAACCCGGCTAATTCTGTACCTCAAAGCAAGCCAGCCGCAGGAGGATCCTTTTGTGGGTGTAATTGAGTTCAGCATGTTTTCATACGGCTGAAAAACTCAACAACCTACACAACCGTTCTCATCAGGCTGCACTGGCTCATGGGAAAAAACACCAGCACTAAATCCCGAGAGGAGCTGCTCTCCATTAACAGTAAGCCCTTTCTAAGCCTAACTCCTTATTCTGATTTGGTCTTCGAGTTTGATATAGACATGTAATGCCCAAGCCATACGCCCAGCCTCAAGGCTGCTGTAACGTTGCTAGCGCCACAAACAAAAGAAACGCCCCAAGTGGGTGCTATTGTATCCTTTTATAGTGGCTTTTCAACGTGGGAAATATATTAATTATTTAGCCAAATGAGAGAATGTGTAGGAATGACTATTCTGTTCAGAGGTTTCACACTTGTCATTTTTAATCTGCAAATCTATAGTAGGACAGTTATGGAAAAAACAGGGAATCCCAGAGACTACATCATATCTAATATGGGTCCAGGGCCTGATGTGTCTCATTTTGGGGGCCCTTAACACCTATAAGAACCACTGACCAAGGGTGCCGCAATATTACCTCACTTCTAAGAAGTTTGGTAACCACTGTAATCTCTGTAGTGGAAGAGGGTGGCACATGTACTGCAGATAAAACGACATGGTCAGATGAGATAAGGCTACCTGAAGCTCTAGTGTGTAGTCTTCAGTCAGTGTGTGAACAGAAACAACCCTTTTGCCCAAGTATCCTTCAGCATGACACTCAAGTTCTGACATACTCTGTGAAACTGTTTCAGGACTTTCAGCCTTAAAATGTGTGCGTTGAAGCCACAGACTGTGCTGAGTCATCTCTGGCACCACCCAGTGGACGTACATACGCACACACTGAAACTGCAACAAAAATAACAGTTTCTCCTTTTTTGTCTTATTCTTTATTGCCACACTGAACACTGACCACGGATTAGGTAAAGTGTTTGTTTACCCAAATATTTAGCCATGCGAATAGTTGATTTTATTTGCCCAAGTTCTGAGACATCTGCCTCTGAGATTTCTGTCGCCACCAAATATAATAAAGATGAATGTAACTGTTTTTGTGGCGCTTACAACATTGAAAAGTTATATTAACAATTTCAGAAGCAATGTCCTGGTTACTTTTTTCATAATACATATTCTACATTTCAATCACTGACAGGGTGTTTTGTTGACTCAACTGTGAACACCAAGAATATAACTGAACTGTGGAAGTGACAGATTTGTCAGGACCTGGACAAATAAAACCTATGTGCACAGACAGATAGCTATAGAGGTAAGGTTTTTGAAGCCTTTGGGTAAACTGACCCTTTAAGCCTAAAAGAGAAAAACACAGAACAGAACAGCAAGTTCCCTCGATCACTTTCCTCTGAGAGACCCAAAGATATGACCAACTGTTTCTAAAGTGCCACTTTTTATTCGGCAGTTTGAGGAGGCGAATCTTTGGTAGGTGTGATGTTTGGCTATCACTGTGACAACTTAATGCTGAAAGTGTGGTTGGTCAGAGATCTCTTGACAAGTGGGAAACTTGCTTGAATGTTTTCTGTCCACCTCTGCAACCATCTTCTGTACCAATCTGCTGAAGCGTCAGGGTCTCCCTTTGCATGCAAAGAGGCTTGACGCAACTGCTAGAGCGAATGTATCCAAATAAATTAAAGTTCCCTCATCAAAAAAGTTCACAACGTCATGAGAATATCTTCTGTTTACGGAGAAGTTTCTTTTTTCATTTCCACTGTACAGTACATCCGTGCTTCTTACGTAATCCAATGACAATAATCCGTCTTGGTCCTCTCCACGAGTCGCTTCATCGTTATATCCCAAAACGGTACGCCAATATTGTTTAAAAAATGAAAAGCTGTCAATCTGCACACAAGCAGCTCATGGAAGGGATGGCCAAACAGTGAGCGAGGCATATGGTGTGGGAGAATCACAAACACATTTGTAATAAAGATTAAGATCCAAAATCAGTCCACTGCCAGTTCTTCAGCGGCTCTGATGTTTTGGAAGATGTACGCAAACCTCCAGAGCAGCAGGAAGAAATGTGAGATACTTCTATGTTGCTCACAGCCATTTGAGTCTCTAAAACACATCTACTACGTTTTTTTTAAGGGTATGGATGGAGTTAATTCTGACTCAATCGATAAGGTTAATTCCTCCCCTGCCTTTAGATTAGCACTGAAGCCCTAACAGATTGTCAGTTTGATTCCCTGCAACATAAGGGATAAGGAATAATCTCTAGGCCCTCTGCAGTCGGGGTACATTTGATCCCAGAACTTCTGCTCCCGCAAAACAAGGTTGTGGTTAATTATAAATATGTGTGTGCTCAGTGGATGGGCTACGTACACTGTGGAGGATTAAGAGCGTGAGTGTTCAGCAAAACTTCCTACATTAAGAATAAAAAGAACTGATGACGACCTGCAGACCTGACTAGAGCAGCTGAGACGTTCAAACCTTAGCTCTACCTCTACTATGAAAACACAAAAACCTTAATGGGGTAAGATTCTTTGTACCCATGTACAGACTTAGCATCCCTACAGCTGAACAGACCTGCACTCTCTCCTGGACAGAGGTCTTGGATGGAGACTTGCGTAAGAAGCAGCTGTGTTGGCTTTAACGAGGCTACTTGGTGGCAGAATTCCCATCAGGCCTCATGCTGAAGGGCTCCAGGCGCTCGCTCTCAGGCAGCATGTTGTTGAGGCGCTCCATCAGCGGCACCGTCTGGTCGATGCCCATCTGGATGCGTCTCAGGATCATGGACATCTCGTTGACTTTCTGGATCTGCTCAGCGTACTTGGCGTAGCGTTTCTGGCGCTCCTGCATAATGCTGAACAAGGTTTCCACTGATAAGTCCATCTGGAAAGAAACAGGCGCGGGAGAGGGAAAGAGAGACAGTGTTTTTGCCTTTTTATGACACTTTGAGTCATCTCAAAGTAAAACAGAGACAAAATATCTCAGATAATTTATAACATTCTGCTTCACCACTAATAGATGAATATCATTTAAAACAGTAGAACCCGCTCAATGTACGGTACACACACAAGTCTGCAAATGTAACTGAGATTGAAGCAGAAACATGTTCATCATTCTATTCATTCTTTTTTTTTCAATTAATTATTAATTTAGTCTGTAAAATTTAGTAAAATGTAACATTTCTATCTCAATTTGTGCTGCCAATGCGAAGTCGTCAAACTACTTGTTTTGCCCAACCAAACATCAAAACACAAACGTATTTGTAATATAACTGACAGTGATCCCAGGCTTGCACATTTGAACTTAAATGATGAATGATGAATAAAATAAATACCATCTTATTAGTTCTAACAATAAAATGCTGTAATTTGATTTTCTGCTAATTGACTAATCATTTCCACTAGTAATACAATCTAAAATGGTTTTGGGGCGGAAAAATGTCACATACTGCACTGTGGTATTCTTACCTCCTTGATCCTCTTGACCAGGGCGTTCTGGTCGAAGGCCACGGCCTCAGCACACTGGTGGAGGTGGTCCTGGTAGCGGATGCAGAGCTGCAGAACCTGGGTAGTATCCAGCCTTTCCAGACACACACTGCTGGGTGACGTCTGGCCACTCAGCACTCCTGTGGAGAGTGAAGAGCAAATGACTTACATGGACACGTTGGAACAGAGTCACACTTGACAACAGTGTTACACTCGGTAATTATTGTAATTAGCGTTGCACAGGATCTGACAGAACTACCGCTCCTGCTATTTCAGGAGTGAGCCTACACAGGAACCTTGGCTCATTATCCACCTTCTAACACAGTGCTAATGGGTTGCGGTGATATTGGCTAATTTGAAAAACCTACTGGTGGGGATTGGTTGAAAATTAGATGAAACTGTCAATATCTTCATGTGAAAACTGAAATAGTACAAGTCAAATACAATATCGGCACACTTATTACTGATTCCTCACAATAAATCTAATTGAACTGAGCCACATTTGGATTAAAAAAGAACTTCTGTCGGACATCAACACTGCAGCGATCATACATATTGAAATATGGTGAAATGATATCTAATCTACTGGAAGCTATCAGCAGTGTGCACATATTGTCTGACTTGTGTTTAACGTAGGACCTGTAAGAATTTGTAGATGTGTGCACTGAAACTGAAATGATATCTATTAGTCAGTGTGGGTGGTTGTATATACTTAAAGTTACCTTTCAGAAGTGGCTGAAATGTAGGTATTTCTTGAAGCTTTATGACATCTGGGTCGTTGTGGATATTTCGCATTGACTGTGTCCCCTGGGCCACGACCACAATATCATCCATCTTCGCCTTCTGCTTGGCCGGAGAAGGCACCACTGCAATGACAACAATTCCAATAACATCAACAGATAGCACTTCAATATATATAATAAATCATAGGATGTGTGACAAATTAGAAAACCAGGATTACCTTCAGTTAAAACTTAAACAGCTGCACCTGGTCCAATGAACATCCAACTTATTACACATTTCCTCAAGTACTGCACTTAAATATGAGGAACATCCATTGTAAGTTACTTACATATACTTAAACTCTACTACTTTTTTAAATGTTTGATACTTGACAAATTAACTTATTTCAATGTTCAGCACTGTGTGAACTAACCTATAACTTGACCCCAGTTACAACTTCAAAATGTTGATGTAACATTAATGTTTTTGTGGTTAATATCTGTAATATGAGTGTAACACTGGTACTTTACTTACTGTTTATTGTTAGTTACTTTAAATGGGGGGGTCTGAGTACTTCTCCCAAGGCTGCATTTGGAAAACGATGCTTCTGATGAAACAGATAACCAGTCCAACACAAGACTGCTAACGTAACGTAACATCGGTCTTCTTCCATTGAAAACACAAACCCATGGCGGCGGTGTCACTCACCCGACGAGCTGTAGTCGGAGTGTTTGTGCTCCGCGTCTCCGCTCTGCTCGGCACCCATAGTGCTAACGCTGGGTTAGCTTTCAGTGTTGACCGTTTTCTGATACCCTGTCCTCGGAGACTTCATAGGACTTCCAAACACAGCCGAGCTAACGACCAGACAACCATGTCCGCAGGAAGGGAACTGAAAACCTGTTAGCGGGTTAGCTAGCTAACGTTAGCCACGTAGCAACTGTTCCTGCTGGCCGTCAACTAACGTTCACTAACGGTCACTAACGTTCACTAACGGTCACAGACTACCAGCCGACCTGAGTGCTATCTATCTTAAGAGCAGGTGATGAAGATAACACGGAGCTCACTCACAGTTCACCTATATTAACATCAATATAAGATACTACAGAGATGAGTACTGAGTTCACTCAGGGAACACTTCCGTAAATATTGATCACGGGGTTGTTCATGATACAGACAAGCCCATTACTGCCCCCTACTGCTCCCGAGGGCTAATGTCAGCAAGATATAGCGTCAATAAACCTCTACATCTATAACGTTATATAAAAAAAAATATGAATAGCTAGTAACAGTTCTTGGACAAACTAACATGGGCACTCAAACTATAACATGGACTGTGGGATCATGGCCTTTAAATCGGTAAAACTTACAAATGTCTGGTGCAATTGTGTCCCTGTGTGGCCAAAGAAGACCTTCAGAAATAATACACAGCAAAAAACACACAATATCTTCTGTAGATTGAATGTAACTTTAAATCTGGTAAGCATAACCTAACTACAAAATGATAAAAAAAAACAAGTTAGTAATACACTCAACATTCATCAGCTTTGAATAACACTGGACATCCTGAAGGATAAACAAGAACATTTTAGAAACCTGAACCAAGCTCTCTTTTAATGTTGTATTTGATATCTAACCACTTAAATGTTGTAATCCATAAGAGCAGCATCGATGTATTTAAGGCCATATTTGTGGGTCTTGTTGTCGACCACATTTTCACATGTAGGGGAATATAAACACAGAACCACATCCTCGACTGTCTCACTTATCCAGTAAAGGCTAAATATATAGAGGCTTTACCTGTTAGGCCAGGAAACCACTCCCATGAATTACAAAATACTTCAGTAAAAGCCTCAACTGAACACAGAAATGATCATTTGGTGTTTAAGATCAACTTATTTATCTGTACACCTTGTCAAAAGATGAAAACACAGAACCACTGATACAGTCAATGAACAAAAGTGTAAGAGACACACATGCAGAGGGGTCATGCAGTTGATTCAACGCTACATGAATCCCGTCTTCTACTTGTCTACTGGTTTCCCATTGTCCTCTTCAAGCAGAGGGTAGGGTCGCAGGTCCAGGGTCAGAATGCGGCTGAACATGCATTCATCAAACTGTGAAGAAGAAAATACCATGGTGACACACTGCCACATAGAAAGACTTCTTCTCCAACTGGCAACATGTTTTAAAAAGTTGATGTTGATGTAGAAGTTGATGTAAAAAGTTACATGTGAGTAAACTCCCAGCAAAGCCTCAGCCTTAGAGTAAAACTCCTCCTTCAGGGAGATGACAATGATCTGCATGTTGTCCCTGGACTCATCTCTGATGTAACTGGTCACCTGGATACAAACAAAACATCCACACAAGGCACGCACTAATATAATCCATACAAATTAGGTAATAGTCTAATAGTGCACAGCTGAACACACACAAACCTTATAAAACATTGTAATTATTAAAAAAACATTTGGAAATTCAAATGGTGCTAATTTCCCTGAAGTTGAATTATTACAGATTAGGGCTGCATCAGAAAATTTGTCATCCGTCTCAATTAATCTCTCTCTATATATATATGGGGTATTTTTTATTGATACATTTAAAATAACAGTACTGTTAAA